TGGAGCTCGTTTTGTACAGGTAAGTCCATACCAAAACCAGTCCTTAACGTACAAAGTTGTGCTTTGAAAGCTGTTCAAACATTTGAATCAATCATTTTATTTGGGGTTTCTGTTTCAGGTTGCTCATCTTCGTGCCCATGTGTTGATCCACACCGGTGAGAAGCCATACCCATGCGAGATCTGCGGAACACGCTTCCGTCACCTGCAGACGCTGAAAAGCCACCTGCGCATCCACACAGGAGAGAAACCCTACCATGTAGGTTGATTAGAAGAAAGTCAATCCAATTCTCACTTGATTGGCTCTCATTGGCAGGTCAAATAGCAAATCATTCAATGGAATCCATCATTACAAGCATCAAAACTAAAAGTTGACCATTTTTTTGTTGATATACACATCAATTAACAGCATGTACTACGATGCACTTTCCTGAAGGTTGGGGATGTGTATGTCGAGTATTTTTTAATATTTCCATACTTTCGTTTCAGTGTGAAAAATGCAACTTGCACTTCCGCCACAAGAGCCAGCTGCGGCTGCATCTCCGACAGAAGCACGGCGCCATCACCAACACCAAGATCCAGTACCGCATGTCCACAGCAGAAATGCCTACCGACCTGACAAAGGCATGCTAAGCTAAGCTAAAAGAGGAGGACAAAAAAACACAAACAAAAAAACAGTTACCTTGGAGGCAGTCTTGACCCTGGCATTTAACGACCCCCACCCTCCTTCAAACTCGTACAATCATCCAAAATAGTAGTGCCACACTGTGTTTTTGAGACAATTCAATTGGCTGCGTCTGCCATTCTAAACGGGTTTCCACTACATGTGATGCTAGAGCCACTTATGGTATCTTAGTCACTTTATGATTTCTATATAGATCTAGTTATATAAATATATATATATGTATGTTGGGAGTGTTTTTAAGCTTTGAAGGTACGTATATAAAGCTTTATTTTGTTGAGAAGGATGAAATGTAAACAATATGGGTTTTTTTTGGAAAATACAGTATTTTATATCAGAGAACTTACTTTTCTGAAAGTATTGACAATTTTGACAGGTGGTACATATATTTTAAGAAAAAATAAACAGACTTTGTGGCTATATAAATTTGTCTAGACATTTTTAAGTGTATGTACAGACACAGGCGTAAAAGGCAGGATGGGTGGGGCGCTTTGGGATTGGATGGAAAACGTATCGGACGGCTGCTGCTGTCTGACAGTTGTGCATGAGGTATTTCGTACCGTTGTCGGGTAGACCACGTAAATATTGTGACATATTGTGTTCTATCTGTGCGATTGCTCTCTGCTGGCAGAGCCAATCTAAGCGTTTTTTTGAACTGCATTTCTGGGTACTGCTTTGTAATGACCAAGAAAAAAAAAAAAAGAAAGATGTTCTCATTTTGTTTTTTTTTCCTTTTTTTTGCATCAGATGTGTTTATATGTAGATGTGACTTTAGGATTTTGTTCAGTTTTTTTTTTTCATAAGTGAAAGTTTACAGTTCTTGCTCTTTGTTTCAGATCCTACCGTAAACTTGTGTCGATGTAGAGCTTTTACTTTTTATTTTTTCGTTTGTAGATACACTGTGTATTCAATGTGCCTTTCTCTAAGCTGGCTGACCTCTTCAGGGTCCAGTCCAGCTCTATTAAAGGTACAACTCAAGGACACCACTTGTCCTAATTCCCAGTATGTGTGTATGTGTGTATATATTTCTAAATACTTGTCTGTAACCTTACATGAAACTTTATCATTGTAAAAAAAATTCAAGATTTTTTTTTTGGGATTCGGTTTCTTTTTTTTTTAACTGCATTAAAATTATTGTACAATGTTATAAATGTATGAATGTAAAATAAAGGTACTGGATTTCTATGTATTGAAAGCAGAGTTTTTCATTTTTGTTTTGAAAAACTGCAACAATAATTTTCAATGTAGAGTATATTTGGATTTGATGTCGTTTAATAATACGAAGTAGAGCAGAATTGTGATGAAACAAATAATTGTCAAATAATTTCTCTGCAGCTCCTCTAGAGTTACTCTGGGCATAAAGTTACTTCTGTATTTTCAGATTGATCATTTAGATCAATAATGATTTGAACAGAGATGTTCAAAATCCTAACCCTGCTTTTCTTGGTCCTTCGTAATGCTGTTTTATTTTGGGGTAACGGAATATAAAGGGGGCTGAGAATAAAGAATGCACACCAATTTTTCAAAAGATTACATTTATTAAAAAATCTTTCATATATTTGAAGAAAATATGTCATTTCTAATATTAGTTTGGGGTTAGTCTGGTGCATATAAATTCTATTAAAATACACAAAATCTTGTAACATGAAAAAATGTGGTAAAGATTCAAGTGGTGTGAATATTTAACTTTTCTAACGCCCCCCCCCCCCAAAAAAAGACATGCTGTCAGGATCACAATGCTACTCCTGATGTTTCTGCTCTAAACGGCACCAAGAAAAGGACACGAGAAATCAATCAGCCTGTGGATTTAGCAGGTTTAGGAAGTGGTTCATTTTGCTGCGATTTGTCACTTTTAGGAATAATTCTGCACAAGGAAACTGCAGCTCTGTTACTCAGAAGGGCTCTCACTTTCAACGACATTTCGGTCGGTTCTTCCATCCATTCAGCAGCTAAAGAAAAGACAATCAGTCTTATTTAAGCCAAGAGAAACTCTGGTGACTGATGGGAACTTGGCAAGACAGCGGGGCGCTTCCAGTCGTTTCTCATGGATTCTCTAGAAACTGAATAATTATTTATAATCTCATTTTGACAGCTTGACAAAAACAAAAATAATTACATTATTATACAAAGTAGATCCGGTAATGTAAAGATGTAAAGTCTTGAATTTTAATGTGCATCGTCTGCTGTCCCCTGATGGTGCAAAAAGGAAATGACAGCCAGGTGCTTTTGGTAGAACGTTAATGAAATAAAAAGAAATGTTATAAAAATTAAAAAAAAAATACATACTATGATTAAGTTTTAACCAATAATTCAAAGATTTGTCTTTTTGTTTTCAAATTCCCCCGATTCAAATCTAGGAATTGCCTGCTGGGTCCAACTTGTGCAACTGGACCGGTACCAGGACCGGCCCCTGCTGTGTTACTTAACTTTACGGGCAGCACTGTGGGAAAACTGCAGATCTTCCTCTCATATCAGATCTAACATTCCACCATACGCCTACTTCCTGCTAATAAAACCGTCTAAAATGAGCAGCAGATAAAATTTTTACAACAGAATAAAACAATGGCAGATTTACAGGCATGTGACAGAAAAGAAACAACAAAAAAATCAATCCCCTTAATCCAAATGTTTATATATCTTCATGTAAGAAAGTCAAAATCCAGCTGGTCCTGCTGTCAGTGACGTAAATGTTTAACAAATACAACGTGGAAGAAAAAAAACAAACCAAACAATCCTGAATGTGTCAAATTTCAGCCTGAAAGCCAGTGAGGGTTATAAGAGGGCATGTGGCAGGCTGAAGTAGACTGTTCTGACCGGCAGTCTGCTGGGTCGTGTTTAAACTATTGGAATTGATACCAACTGGAAAACATTTGATTCGGCTGCCAGTTTTCCAGAGAGGAAACATCCCAAGAGATTCGACCGAGTGCGGAACAAGACAGTCTCTCTACAGGCTTCTGCTGGCATATAATTGGATAATAAGAAACAATTTGAGTGTTAGAATGAGCAGAGTCTGACAATGGATAAACGACACAAAAATACTTCCTGAAAAATAAAGTTGCTCATCCTGAGGTCAGAGAAATTATAAAAAGAAAAAGGAAAGAAAGAAAAAAACAGCAAACGTGGAAACTCAGAGCTATTCTTCTTCACCATCGTCTTCCTACGAGCTCGATTCTCATCGCCCTTCAGCGATTTCTCTCATTGAGCTTGATTTTAGAGTTTCAGCAATGGCAGCAGAGGAAGTGAAAGATGCCCTTTTGTCTGTGTTGGCCACAGCTCTAAATATCAAGCAACTAAGGTTGGAGCAAGAGGAATGTTCAAGGCTTTGCGTTGCTGTCAAAGAACAAGAACATTTCACTTGGCACGTCCTTTCTGAATGGGGGATGGTTGTTAGCAGCGCAGTTTCTGGAAAACTTCGTGGCGTACATTACAGACGTCACAGCCAAACATTAGCGATTGAGTCAAATCATATAAAATCGTTTTAACACTTCAACAGAATCCAGGCCTCCAGCAAGCAATCATTTCTCAATAGCCGAGGGTCCAGATGCTCTAGAGGAAGCAGACGTAGAATTTTTTTTTAGAACAATACATAGATTAGAAAACACTGAGTAAGAGTGGATTGTTTGGTGGAGTTCCAGGAAGCTTCTTCTCTCCCAAAAACAGTAACACTGGTTCACATTGAGAAGGTTGAATCTGAACACGGCAGAAGACTTCGGGAAGAACATGGTTTGACGTGACAAAATCGAAGAAGCGCTGCAACAAACACTGACTTTACTGCACCGAAGTCATAGATTGACCCATGAACTCCTCCATGTACCCAAGTTTTCTATTTAAACGTGAAGCCGTCGGTCAGCCAGCTGCAGCTCGGCCCAAACACCGCAGCACATTTACAACAGATTGCATAAAAAGAGAGATAGACGAGATGAAAGGTGCTACAACAACCCCCCGCTCAAAGTCCAGCTTTAACTTAAATAAAAAGGCTTTAGCAGGACTATAAACCGATGCACATAAAACCCACAAGAACTCAAAATGAAGAAGGGACATATTGTTCTGGAAAACAAATCTTTTTTCCAGAACAGTATGTGAGGGATAAGGTCACACCGGCGACAGTAAACGTCCTGCTGTGGGACGTGCCGCCGACTATTAGGACCACGGAGGAAACTGGTGAATTTTGGGTCAGCTGGTATTAAAACAAACAATAAAATAAGCTGCTGTTCACGAAGACATTGGCAGATCCAATGGCATAGTGCGACGCAGCGCGTGAAACCCGGAGCCGATTCCAGACGACTCAGCACTCTTTTTCAGACAAACACAAACAAGCTAATGAAGTTTTAGCTTTATTTCCAAAAAGTACACATAATTACAAAATGACTTCTTCCACGGTCATAGTTGATGTTGACACACCAAAGTATTTCTCCAAAAGCAATAAAAAAAAAAATCTACAAAAAGGCAGGAGAATTTCTTAATAAAGAAAATGAACTAAGGATTAAAATATTGTAACCTTATTTGTGAAAAAAAACAACTTCTTTTTAATTTAAACCAGAACAGTCAACACAAACACGGTCCTAAGTTGTTTGAACTAAAAGATTCAGATGAAGACCGCTGAACATCCTGCAGGTTTGAGACAATCAATCCTGCTCTGCAAATTTCCATAATCAGGAATGCACTAAAAAAAAAAACAAAAAAGTCTCTTTTTGTTGTTGTTGAAGTAAATCAAACTCCCATCCTTAAATAAAGTCATTACAAAACGTGAAGTTGTTGTATCTCATACTCCTCTAGCCGTCACAAACCCCACGACCCCATCACTGCTTCTGCTGCATGGCTTCTTTTCGCGCCGCGTCCTGGAGCAGCTGCGTGTCCACCTCGTCGGCCGGCAGCTGGACGTACCGGACCACCGATCCACGGATGAAGCAGTTTTTCACCGACAGCTGAAGCAAACAGAACACGGTGCAGTTTGACGGAGCAAAATCTGGCTCAGAGTTGAATGAACACCCGATTCTAATACAGTGTCGAGTAAAAAAACGATTACTGAAGGGGTTGATCATTTTTGTTGACTTCTTCTGAGAGTTTCTTTGAATGTGAATTCATTTGAGGCCACCGTTTTGATAAAGACGGTGTTTTGTCAGGGCGTTCTCTCTTCTTCAGGGAATTTTTTTAATCGCTCTTGGTGTTAAATTTAGAGAGTTTTCCAGACAAATTCACAGAGCTGTTGGAATAAGTCTCTTTAAAGACAGTTTTCAATGTACTGATGAAAACACAAAGGTAAGCAATTCGAACCTCAATATTTCTCCAGAATGCTCTTTAATCAGCTTTTGTAAAGTCTATGAGCCTCATATGATTGGAAAGGAAATAGTGACGACACTTCCGGACGTCCTAACGTCAGCTTACCATATGTGGATATTTTTCTGGATCTGTGACGCTGATGTCTGTCAACTTGATGTTCAGGTACTGACAGATAAATACGGGAAAGGGAGAAAAACAAACAATAAGGAAACAGTGCAAAACGCTAAAAGGCGTCGATTTTTAAATAATAAAGATAATCATAAAGCCAACCTGGTCAACAGAGTGAAGCGTCCCACAGATGCTGCAAACAGATGAAGTATATCAATAATCACCCAAATCTCGAGCTGTAGCCTTCCATGCATTACTGGAACTCTCTCACGTGGACATATTTTATCCACACAAATTACAAAAAGCTGATCGAAAGGGCAGGATCGATTATTTGATCGTGTTGGCGTAAACATTCATTCATACCGTTGCTATCGCTCGGCTACTGCGGCTAGCTAGTCCTGCCGTCTCGCTGACTCGCCGCAGCTACAGCGGAACGACGTCGCAGTTTTAATGTGTTTCGGTCACAAGCACTAACCTCAGGTCGTTTTTGAGCTCCACCACCACGTCCTTTCCCACCAGAGACTTGAAAAACGAGTAGAAAAGCTGGGGGACAGAGCGACATGCTAACGTTACTGTTAGCCAGGAAGCTACATGTCGAGCACGATGGAGGCGGTTTGGGAGAGAGCCGCAGAACTCAGAGCACTTTATGCAACAGTAAGGAGCTCGAAGTCACACAAGACCTGGCAAAATTACAAGGAGTCTTTGTGTAGACTGTTGATAAAGCTAAAGAGTTATTAAAGTTTCTTACCATTCTTGCTTGTGGTATTTTGGAGGCAGTGCGACTTGTGTTGATGACGTTCCAGGCTGCATTGACTGACCGGCTCCACCAGGGGGAGCCAGAGGTGTTTTCTCGTGCTCACAACTTCAACAAAGAGATGAAGGCCTTGGTAGGATTGTCCATTAGATCACTTAATGGACTTAAATGAATGGAATCTCTTGGTTTTATTTACTCAAAGTTAATATTTAATGTTTTTATTTTGGGTTAAAGTAGCATTTGGGAACCATTAGAGGTGGTCAGAAGTTAAATTACTAGTAGGGAACCAATTGCAGCGCACTGCAACGCTGGAGTTACTGAAATACTCAAATAAAAATGATAACGAAGCGGGTCGAAAGATAGAAGAGTCTCTGGTAGTGTTACATTTCATAAAAACGGCAACATTTTCCATGTATGAAAACAACTTACCCAAAAACACACACTCAAGCCGATTAATTTCTAAACGGCAGGCGTGACAGTATATTTCTTAACAAATTTTATGTACAATTTTTCTAGTTTTATGGACGATCATCATAAAAAAAATACATGTATGACTCAAAACACAATAAAGTCCAAAGAAAGTTTGACAATTATATTTATTTTGGAATTTATTGTACATCTGAGGAAAAACATTTTATTATTCGTGCAATTTAATACTGGGTGGTAAACATTCATTAGCCACAGCATAGTGTAAAAGTTTCCGTTTGTAATTATTTGGAAGGAGAGTACAGTTTTGTAACCCGCGGTGTGACGCAAACCCACTAGAAACCCACCCTGAAAATGTAACTTTCTGTAACAACAAAGGGAAAGTATGGAGGACATACCAAATTCTGATCCAGACACCTGCCAACCAAACATGTACATGAAACCTTGAATACAAAGAAAACATGAAGTTTTCCCTTTCTTGAACCCATGTTTGCTTTGACCATTCTGGGCTGCCATAGAGACCTGGCTGTATACAGTAGGAAACAAACCTGATTTGTAAACTAAAAACTTTACGCTCATTAAAAACATAGCTATACATGTTTAATTTCTACTTACAAATCCCATTCAATGGCATGAACTGGAGCTTTATGGAACGAGTTTGACACTTTGGCAAGACACTACCAGTTCGGGTTGAGAAACGTGTTAAATTTGAAGCTGCAGCCATTATTCAGTCAACTTAGCTTAGCATAAGACTGGAAACAGAGCTTAGTTCTAACTATATGCTGTAGAAAAAGGGGGGAATAAGTTTTTTGATACTGTAGAAAAATGACAAGTTACTCTGTGATACAAAGTGATGAGAAGAACTGGTCAAAGCTTTGACTTTATGTTTAGATAGTGAAATGCAGGGCAGGAAGCAGTTCTGTCAGTGCTGGACTTATTTGCAGCTTTATCTCAGTTCACTGGACGGCCTGTCTTGGGATGTTCTGAATGCACTGAAATAAAAAAAAAAAGTGTCAGATTGTGATGATTCAATTATACCCTTAAACCTTTGTGCGTGCCTTACTGTCTTTGTGAGGCGGTAGCGGGCTGGGTCTACCTCCTGGGCCTACTCTCTGTTTGCCGGGAATCTCCGATGTGTCTCGGTAATCTCTGGGTTTGGGGTTCTGGGGTTCTGGGCGTGACTTAGTGGGCAAAGGTGGCCGATGCGGCGCCATGGCTCCCTCAGAGCGAGAGGGAACCACGGGCTTCTTGTGTCCTGGTGGGTGCAGGCCTCCAGGGCTCTGAGCCTGGGATCTGTTCTCAGAAGAGGTGAAGGAGCGGTTACGTGGCACAACCAACGGGGGGCGATTAGGGTCTCCATCTACGGTTGGCGTGAGACGGTCCAGCTGGGGATGACCTTGGTCTTTGGCCTGGCAGTGGGATTTGGTCATGGAACCGTAGAGTGGGTTGTCCAACATCTCAGACAACTTCTCGTCCTCATTCCTAGCAGACAAGAACCAATCTGTAAGGATTTGAATTGACTTTCTGTTGGATCACATTAAGTATAAAGTGCTGCTTAGAAATTCGCACCAATTCATTTGAAGCACTTTAATGATGCATTGATGCATTTTCAATGGTGAAACTGTGGTGTAACAACGACATTGAGTTTGAAAAACAATCTGATAATCAAATTTTTGTTTATTGCGCCTCCACAATAGAACACAGAAGAGCCTTATTGAATGGATTGACCAGGCCAAGCTACACTTTAGATCTAGACCAAGGATCCCCAAGCCCAGTCCTCAAGGGCTACCATCCTGCAACTTTTAGATGCATCTCTCTTCCAAAATGTCTGAATTCCCTCACCAGCATTCATTCAGGTCTGAAATAGGCTGGTAACTAGTAGTTTATTTGACTAGCAGTGTGTTTGAGGAGAGATGCAGGATGGCCTCCAGGGCTCTGAGCCTGGGATCTGTTCTCAGAAGAAGTGAAGGAGCGGTTACGTGGCACAACCAACGGGGGGTGATTAGGGTCTCCATCTACGGTCGGCGTGAGACGGTCCAGCTGGGGATGACCTTGGTCTTTGGCCTGGCAGTGGGATTTGGTCATGGAACTGTAGAGTTCCATGACCAAATCGGTTATCTCTGGGTTTCTCTGGTAATCTTCTATGGTCTTGAAGACTAGACCATAGACCATGGATCCTCAAAACCAGTCCTCGTGGGCTTAAGCAGTGGAGACGTGTTCTCTGGACAGACAGCTTATGTCTATATGTCTCACAAACCAATGGAATAGAATAGGCTGGGTTTGGTCAAGAGAACGGTACTTGGCATTCTGTCAAGTGTAAAGTTGGGCGCACAGGAGATTATGGAGTGGGGCTCGCAACCTTAGTTGCAGAAGAGAAGAGAAACTCATAGTTCTTCAGCATATCTTAATTTTGTGGAAAATATCCTGGTCCCTTTATGTCTAATAAGATCCATAAAGACATGAAGGAGTGAGTTTGGTGTGGGAGATATTCGGTGACTGCCTCAGAGTCCTGACCTCAAGATAATACAACACCTTTGGGAATAGCTGGAGAGGAGACTGTGTGCCAGTCCCCTGGACTCGTCCAGCATCAGTGTCTGACTTTGCAAATGTGGGATTTGCAAAGTCAGCGTTTAAAGTGTGCATAGAGACTTTCGATGATTACTGAAGTTTTTGTGGCTGAATAGGGTGAGGCCACCTATGCAATAAAGCCTGTATAGCTAGAACAGGATGTTGTTAAAATAGAATACAGAGATAAATATACAGAGATATACAGAGATAAATGACCCTATACTTTCAACCATAAAGCCTGTAAATATACTTTAGTCAAATGATATTTGACTAAAAGTACCCCTGGTTGCAAAGAACCACTTACCTTTTGGGAGCCATCAACAAGTTCGGCCATGAGTCTGACTACATATTTGACTGTTCTTATTAAAAGTGGTCAAACCTGCGCAGTGTATGCACTTATAGCAGAGTTAAATTCAGGGCTATTTCATTGGCTTACAACAACTGACTATAATTATCAACAATAAAAATTGCACAAACAGGAGAGATGTGCAAGCAGGAGCAGAAAAGTCATCTGAAATGAGGAAAAACTGTGAAAATAGCAGCAGAGATGTAAATATTTGTGGCTTGGCGTCTCACTACAGGGTTTTAAAATATGTTGGGAGTTGAAAATGCATCGATAAAATCCACAAATCTATTTGACAATCATGCAGATGATGAATGGACGGAAAACTTTCAGCAGCCACATTTTTAGAAAAATGTGAAAGTGTATTATTAACATCGGGGTATTTACGTGGTGTTGTAGTTCATTGTAGTGGGACTTCGTACGCCCATGTCGTAACCGGGCTTCTTGGACTCTTTACCCCCTGGAGCCCCACCGCAGACATTCCTGGGGGTCATGCTGTAACTCCAGCCCCTATCCGACACATTCCCACTTTTGAAAGGAACTCCCATGTAATTTGGGTTGGAGATATCATGCGCTGGCGTTACGGCGGACCTGTTGATGAGAAGACAACACCGCATGTCTTAGAGGAACGTTTAGGGGCTGCGATTGGAGTTGTGGTGGAAAGTGAAAAAAGAAAAAAATAGAGTGTCTTACTTGTCTCCACCTTTGCCTTTTGAAGGAGCGGTGTCGTCTCTTTCAATTTTAATAAAATCTGGAAACGGGAGAAGAACAGGAAGAGTTGATTTCAGAGACCGGGGAAGGTTATTTAGTGAGGGTTTTTGAAGTCCTCCCGGCCTCACCGTATAATTTCTCAGTGGGCTTGAACTCGGATGTGCGCAGCTGGATGCCCCCGGTCAGCGTGCCCGTCTTCTCGCCCTGGTGGGTCAGCGTGATCTGGAACTCCCGGTAGCAGAACTGGGCGGCTCGCAAAGCGACGCATCCCTCCCCTTCAGGAAGTAAATACCAGCTGACCGTGAGCACCACAAAACTTAGATCCTTTAATAATAACACTGAAAGAAACTCAACTTATTTTGTCCATTAGTCTATTATGGGTTTAAAATGAAACAATTCTTTTAAGGCAAACTGACACAGATGAGTGGATAGATTAAAAATTAAAACTCCAGTAAATGTTGCAATACTTCAACATATTTTTACTCAAGTAAAAGTTAAATGTAGAGGAAAAAAAAGTTTAAAATTCCAGCAAAAACATCTGAAATTTTTAGATTAATCTCATAACTTTTCTAGAACTCCCCCCGCCCCTACACACACACACACACACACCACACACACACACACACACACACATACACATACACACACACACACACACACACACACACACACACACACACACACACATTACATTTAGTTACATCCTTCACAGAGGAGGTAAAGCACTTTCACCTCGCCAAGACATTTTGCCGATGTGTCCTCTCTTCTCTTACCGTACGACTCGTCACAATCTGTGGATTTGACGCAGATGAGGATGTGCTGCTCCAGCAAATACTCGGGGTCGGAAATGATCGGCGTGAGCTTGGAGAGACGGGAACGAGGCGATCAACGATTCGGTTTTAACCGTGAAAAATAAAATAAAATAAAATAAAATAAAAAACAAAACAAAAAAACAAAAGCAAACTGCAAGTAAAGTCATTTTACCTCGACTTTATTGCCGAACCAA